CTTGAGAGCAGTTTATTTTATAGCTTTTATAAACAGAAACCTATCTTCATTTGTACACTTACCTAAAAAACTTGCTCCTTTGTTTGTGTGAATTGTCCAGTATTTCTGTCTTGCTCACTGGAGCAAGAAATGCCAAAGCCCTGAATGCTTTTGCAAACCTGCTCATTTAACTGCCTCGCCTGCTGGAGAAGTAGATTGATGCTACCTTTCTTCCAAAATTCAGCCCAACATTTCCCAGAAATAAAACCTGGAACTTTGCAGTGACATTTTTCCTGCCTTTTGGCTGGCTATTGGAGGGGGGGATGGCGGGGTGGAATGATTTCTTAGTGTTAAAATTGACCCAAAAGAACCCTCCAGGATAGGCATGCAAGCAAATAAATTGTGGTAGGAATAATGTGAAGTGATAGCCTACATTTAGAATTTAAAAAGGGAACAGCATATCTTAATATATATTTGGATTATATTTGTTTGAAATGGGTTTTTCCTTTTGAACATTACTTTAGTTGGCTTACTGTTTTCTGCCTCTTACACTTTGTTCTGACAGCAACGGCTGCACAAGGACAATGTCTCTTCAGTAAAACATAAGGATATGTGAAGTAACAGAAGAGTGGGATTGTCTTTCTCCTCTGCTATCCTCCCTTAGGTTGTGCTTTTGAAGAACTGTCCTGTGAGACTCATTTTTCTGTTTTTCAATGTTAATGCAGACATCTTGTTACTGAATTTTGACTGGGACCAGAATTGATGTTAACCAAACTCTGCCATGTACTGGTGAGTTTGGAATGACTTGCTTCCCCCACCTGCTTTTGTACTTCAAAGAATATTATGATAACAAGGAATACTCCTTACGATGCAGTATTTATGAAGTATTGTGGTGATGGTCTTTAAAGTGTGACCAAACATTTCAAAGGTATTTAAGTTAGGAGGAATGTGCTCATGAAGGCACATGATGGGATACATTCAGGGAAGCCCCAGAGAGTGGAGTGGGGGAGAAGGATCCCAGTTGCTATGTGTCTGAAATAGCAGCTGAGCTGTGATGAGAATAAAGCCAGGTGGGGAGGAGGAAAAAAGAAGAGGGAAAAAAAAAAGACTGACTTTGAGCAGAGAAGAAAAGGTAGTTCAGAGAATTACTGAGGAGTTCCCTTAAACTCCAAGTTTAATTAAAGCGCTGTTCCAAGGTGATGCTGTGAGGTGGGTTGTATGTGGATTCACACCTTTGGCTTCCATGATTTAGACACAAGTGATAGGTCTGAAAGGAGATGCGGGTTTAAAAGGTTCTTGTCATAGGAGAGAAAATCTGAGGGAATCTTAAGAACTGTGAGCTACACTGCTTCTTGGGGACTATGTTACTCTCTGAAGTATTTTACTTCTCACTATATTTTAGTCTTTCTTCTATAGGACTGTTTATTCTGGATGAGTGAAGTTTTTGATGATATAAAAGCAGACTGATGATTTCAGAGCAACTTGCAAAGAACCACCATTGTTCTGGTGAAAGTCATATATATGGCCATGTAAACAGGAGTGGTATCCATCTCAACTTACCTTGAATTGTTGCAAAGTTGATGTGACTTCATACAGTTAATGGTGATTTAGGAATACATGAAAAATTATCTCTGCCTGCAACTGTCTGAGCTACTTTGCTCTGCTGAGACAAGGTTGTTAGGTTGGCCTGGGAGCGTGTCGGTTAAGAATGCTGGTTGGGAATGTTCACCATGGGGCAAGGCACTGGAGAATATGTTATAAAACCAAATCTTGGTGGGTGACTCTTTCACCTGTTTTACCCTTAGCTTTAAGGTAGTAGTAGCATTTATTATTGATTCATCTTTTGTCAGTGAAGAAGCAAAACCAAAAAAACCTGCAAAAAAACAAAGCCAGAGAAATGCTTGAAATGGAAAGCTAAATTTGTCACAGCTTCACATACTCATATGAGCTATTCTCACCACCACCTTGTATGCTGATCTATGCTATAAGATATGCAGTTAGATAATTAAGTTATTAATTATTTGTTTATTTCTGAAATCCTGATGATCGATATCTTGTATTACACATTGGCTTTTGAAACCTACAGTTGCAGCCTAGATTCCTATAAAAGCACAGGTTTATACAGGTTTGCAGTCTTATGTTTGCATAAATCTAAGTCTTGTGATAAGTGTGAGGCAGAATGTTTAATTAACTCATTTCTAATTCACATTTTCTGTGTACAAAAATTTTTAATTCGTATAATATAGTGGAAGAGGCCTTGCTTCTATATCTTTTATTTAGAAAACTGATCATTATGTGTGTATGGTTAGAGGATTGAATGTTCTCTTTGAAATATTTGTACTTCACATGAAGTTTCAGTTTGACAGATATTGCCTTATCTGTATCTCAGATACCTTATTTCTACTTTGCTCATCTGCCATTCAATTTTTATGTTAAAGGTAACGTAGTTTAATTTGTACATGTTGTGCATTCACCCTGGTGAGCAGCTGAGCCTCATGCAGCCACTTGCTCACTCCCTTCTCCAGTGGGATGGGGAGGGAATCGGAAGGGTAAAAGAGAGAAAACCTGGGAATTGAGGTAAAGACAATTTAATAGGTAAAGCAAAAGCCATGCACACAAGCAAAGCCAAACAAGGAATTCATTCACCACTTCCCGTGGACAGGCAGGGGTTCAGCCATCTCCAGGACAGCAGGGCTCCATCACGTGTAACAGTTACTTGGGAAAACAAATGCCATCACAACTAACGTTCCCTCTTCTTCCTTCTTCCCTCAGTTCTATTGCTGAGCACGACATCATATGATATGGAATATCCCTTTGGTCAGTTGGTGTCAGCTGTCCCAGCTGTGTTCTCTCTCAGCCTCATGTGTGCCCCCAGCCAACTTGCTGGGCAGCATGAGAAACAGAGGCCTTGATGCTGTGTGGATGCTGCTTAGCCATAGCTAAAACATCCCTGTGTTACCAACACTGTTCTGGTCACAAATCCAAAATGTAGCCCTGTACAAAGTACTGTGAAGAAGCTTAACTCTATCCTAGCCAAAACCAGCACACAACAAAAGCGGGAAAACAGCCCAACTTTCTTTCAGACTTTTGGATTGAAGGGAAGAAAGGGGAGGGAGAGTGCTAGCTAAGAAGATGCTTTCAGTTTGGAATAAACAGCTAGGAAAGCAAGGCACTGTTAAACTTGCACTGAAGTGCTCCAGGGTGTGAAAGTCTGGTCAAATGAACAGTACTTTAAATTCCCAGTCATTTTATTGATTTTACTTTGAAAGATTTGAAGTAAAGCCAGTCGCCTGTTTAAGCAGGTGATGGGGTAATGACTGCCTCTACAGATGATAGACAACAACCTGTGCAAATAGAGAAGGGAAGGGACACTAGTCAATTAGTCAAAAATGTGGGGACCCTTTCGTTTATAAAGGGATTTATTCTGTTTAAGAATGTCAAGTAGTATTTGGAAAACCAGAAAAAATTGTTATAGTCAATTCCTAAGTTATTAAATATAGATTCCAGAACAAAGTTTTTAAGTTTGTGGAAACATGTATTTGGATTATTCAGCTGTAAAGATAGTGATGTCATCTCAAACAAACAGTATTTTTTTCTGTCTGTAATTTTGAACTAGTGATTAGAGGGAAGTATGCAAAGTCCCAGAGTTCTTGGATTTTTATTCATTATTTTTGCTCTGTAGTTTCTGTGGACTGAGTCAGATGTTTGTACAGTAAAAAATTCTACCATCTGAAGACATCTGCTCATGTAAAAATGCATACTGAGAGAATGTTGTAGCAGAATTTCCCATAAGAGTTTTTTGAACCACTGTATGTATAAACCACCCGTATATATATAAAAAGGGTCAGCATTACCAGGGTGAATTTTCAGAGGGGTAACATTGCTGAATTATAGATTAAGATTGGATCCAATCTTGTAAACATTGGGTTTCAGAGTTGGTTGGTCTTTGTGTCAGCCCAATATGTGTGGGCTTTATGCACACTTGTTCTCCTGCTTTAAGCATCCAAACTGAATGGGTTTTCTAAAGTTAACAGTAATTTGAGGTTGAAGAGGAAAGAAGTCTTCCAGGGATGACTCACTCCAGAGGTAAACAATAAAAGTGACATGGAGAACTCTATACTCTGTTTACCATGTTAGGAAAATAATTTTCTGAAAGCCAGAAGACTCAAAAATGGTTGTGTCCATTTACTACTGCCAAATACCAAACTTCCTAATTAGCTTTTCTGTTCTTGGGAGTGACATTATCTTTTGACACAAGTTTTGCCTGTGGAAGACTAACCCATGTGGCTAGGTGAAAATCATTACTACTGTATAAAGGCAGAATGGAAAGCAGTGCTGTTCATTTAGTTTTTAAGTATCCGTAAAAAGAAGTGGGAAAAAAAGCAAGGCCATCATGAGTAGGTTTAATTTTACAACATAGTGATATGAATGTGCACAAGAAAAAACTGAAGGACTTGTGGGTATGAAAATACTGAAAATCTGATGTAAGTAAAAGGGGAGTGGAGGTAAATAGTCTCCTTTCCTTCGTTGTCACTTCAAGGGCAGCTCTCTGGAAGTTTTGGACCATGTATTAAATAGTGCAGTAAATTGTATTAAGTGACAGGTTTGTGGGATATAATAGTAGCATCATCAGAATTCCTCTGTAATGACAGAACTGAATTGTAATAGTTTCTTCATGGATTTAGTATGTATTTTAATGTACTATTTTCAATTACATGTTCCTTTCATTGTGCCTGTAATGGAATTTCAAGTAACAATTATTGTGGAAATTAGATTATTGCAGTGGTTACAGCTGAATATGTATAACAAGATGCTTTTAAGATGACAACTTAAAAAGAGATAAACTGTAAGTCCTACGACATTACAGACTTCAGAATTTTCCTTTCTCTTTCCTATTAGCAGAAAAAAATATGCAGAAAAGTAGGAGTTCCTAATATGTTCTGACAAGTTCACTGTCTTATGTTAGATACTGTGTTGGCAACCTAGTTCCAAGATTATTTCCTGGTTTTGTTTTATTTTAGGTCCCAAATCTGATCCCAGTTCTGATATTTAAATTGGGAAGACCTTTGGAGCCTGCACTTTACAGGGATATATTGTATACATTGCCTACACTGGGCGTACACAAGGTCAGAATGAAAAATTTTTAGTAAAACAAAAACTATATCAATAAGAAGTCATTTATTTATACAAAATTGTTTAGACTGAGCAATTCATAGCTTGCCTGAAATAACTAATTTGTAAGCTTCAGCATAACTTTCTAATATTTTGGATGGGATATGGCGTTTGTTTTAAAGAGTGACAGGTACGTTGTGCTTCATTGTCTGCCCTGTATCATTATTATATTTAAATATATCATAAGAAGATGCTCTTGGACTTGTTGTGCACTGAAGTTTTTTCAGAAAATTACTTCTAGTTTCTTTCTGATGTTGCGGTTGGGCATTTACCTCCCCGTTGTACTTGATTGTAAAATAATGATTTGTAGATTGTTCTTGGATGTAAAAAATAAGTGACATTTGGTTAAAAATTTTCTTCCAGGTTTGTGTAACTCAGATTCTACGTGCCATACACATGCTGGGGAGCACGCCAAAGCTTAGAGCAGTTACTTTGCGGCTGATAACATCCTTATGGGAAAGACAGGTCAGAAAATTCTTGTAGTGTCACTAAGATGACTGTAGTTGAAAAACTTCACTATCTCTAACCAAGGAAGGAAGTTAATTTTGGAACATTGTGTATACTAGTATCTCGTTATCAGCAGTATAAAGTAAATGGTGGAAGTGGTATCTACTTTGGTTCTGTTCTAGTGAAAATTTTCAATGGTATGTCTTTCATGAAACCTACTTATCGTTTCATTAGGCCTCAGACTGGAATTAGGAAAAAAAAATGTTTGGAGGACAGCTTTCTGCTTTTCATAATGTACAGTAAGAACAAGACCTTAGTTACATGGCAATAATTTGCTTCTTTGTTTATAACGTAGCAATAGACATTTGGTCTGCAAAAGCCAGTTAGATCTCAATGCAACATTAGATTCCAGTAATGAAGAAAAGAGAAGTATGGTATGCAGTAAAACTGGTATTTAGAAGCCATGCAAAGGCACTAGCAATTGAAAATCCTGTCACCAACTTTTGAAGGTATGATGATGATTTTTAAATTAAATCTATTCTAGGATCGAATTTACCCAGAATTGCAGAAGTTCTTAGTGATGTCTGATAAGCCCTCTTTGACTGTTGACAAAGATGCTCAATGGGAAAAGCTGATTGCTAAAGCTGCTTGTATAAGAGATATATGTAGGCAGAGGTAAGTGTGTTACCCATCTTATGTCTTTGTAAGGGAACACAATTTTTTTTTTTCAGAAAAGCTACATAATTATTTTTACCTACTCTTTTATATTAATTGTGGGTAATATTTTTCTAGCTGTATGAGATATAAGCATTGCTAATCTCAGCAGCTAGTAAGTTTGGGGTTTTATATCGTAATTAATAGAAAGCACATATAAATAATGTTAAAATTAAAATGTCTTCATCCTGAAACAAAACATGCATCCTGTACTGATCCAGAGAAGAAACTTAAAGCATACCACTTCCAAATTATAAAAAGAGAGTGACAAAACATTAGAAGAAACAACTGATGATCTGTCTGTATTTTGATCTATTCAAAGAAGTTTTGGGTGCTTTTCTGAAAAGTATATTTTGTCACACACACATTACTGGTCTTTAGTCAGATGTAATACTGAACACAGAACAAAGTTGTGTAAGTCTTAACTGGATGCCACAGTGATCCTTTCCAACTCTTAACAATGCATTAATATCAGTACTTGACAATAATTTACAGTTCCTGTAAAGATTATTTTTAAACACGTTATTAACTACTTCCTGGGTTTATGTGCACAATACCACCTTTTCTCTTTCTCACCTATCTTTTGGGTTCCACTTTTCTCTTTCCTTCTTGAAGGTCAGTTCCGAACAACTGAGAACATTCATGTATCTTCCAGTCATCAACTAAAAAAAAAATTCTTAAAGAAAATACCCTTTCCTTTACCTCTTCAACCTTCTTTAATTTTGCCAAACAGCATTTTTCAACAAATATTAAAAAAACAAAAGGAAAAGCAGGAGAGAAGTCTCAATGCAGCTGTAATATTCTTTTTGCCTGGTAAGCGGTGTAGTTAGAGCTCAGGTGTATGCACATTCTTAGTGCATTCAGAAATTATTTGGAAGAAAGTAAGAGCAAGTAGAGGAAGCCTGAATGTTCCATGCGTATAAATAACCTAGCCAGGTGCTGTTTACCCCACGTACTTACAGTATGAGCAACTGCTGAATTGGCAGTTGATACCTCCCCCACCATGGCCCAGTAAAACTGAACAGATACTAAAAGACTGGAAAGCAAACAAGCAGCCCATGCAGTCATTGAAGGAGAGACAAATGACACTGCAGCAGCAAAAAATTTGGAAAAATGCTCCTATCTGATGTCGCAGGGCCCCATGTCTTTTGCTTCCAGAATCTCCACCAATACACAGTAGTGAGTGTTTATGGAAGACCGCAACAAAGAGGCAAAGAATAGTGTCTTTAATAGCACACCTGGATTTTCCTTCTCAGTCATTTCTTGAATGACGCAATTTTTTAGCATACACAACATCCTTGGACAAAAACTTCCACAGCTTAACCACTTAGTGATCTTTTATTTGGAACTTGATACCTGCTGAATTAATTTTCCATGTCACTCAGCCTTTAGAGCTCCCTATATTATATTGCTCCTTGTATTTTTTTTTTCCTCCCAGTTTAGTCTGTTTTGGTTGTCACTTAAAACAAAACCAATACACAATGAATTTTTGTGTACAAAGTGGAACTTGTGTGGATGCATGAATATTGCCTTGTACCTTCATGTGTTTTCCTGTAGGCCATACCAGCATGGAGCAGACATGTTGGCTGCAATTTCCCAGGTATTAAATGAGTGCACAAAACCTGATCAAGCTTCACCCGCTGCCATAGTGTTACAGGGTCTTCAGGCACTTTGTGAGGCTGAGGTAAGATTAAATTGGCTTGTCCCTGTGTTTCAAGTTTTGCTTGTGGATCATGGATGTTTTTCCTACTTGGCTTTTTATTTTTTAAGAGTACCTTGGATCATTGCAGAAGGTCAGCTTCACAGTTTGTTTCAAAGGCATTCTTTCCTGCATTTTTCCTTGAGAGTTGAAAAGAGTGGCTCTTTTGAACATAATTCTTATTAGCTGAGAAGTATGTAAATAATTTAATTTTTGATACCTTCTTATTGCTCTGCTGGTTCTCATTCACATAGTGTACCTGACAGGGAGTGAAATAACTTGTAATTGTTACTTATAGGAGGAGGCTTCTGTTTTCCTCTTAACACATTCATTACTTACTGATGAAGAGGACAGGTAAGGCTTGGAACATGCCACCCAGAGAGGTTGTGCTGTCTCTATCCTTGGAGGTTTTCATGCTCCTCTTGGATACAATCCTGAGCAACTGGGTCTGATCTTGTAGTGACCCTGCTTTGTGCAGTAGGTTGGATTAAAAATATCCTGAGACCCCTTCCAACCCAAATTGGCCTGTGATCCTATGATACCCTGAGTTAGGAGACAAGGCTCTTTGTTTCCACAGTGACATCCCAGACCTGGTGATGCAGGCACAGGCATGCTGTGAATCACACTATAGGTAAACTTGTGGACTATGCAGGCCATAGACATTAGTATTCAATGTAGTTAAAAAGCTACTAAGAACCAGCTTATTCATGGTAGTTACTGTGTTTGCTTTTGGTATGGAGTTTGGCTCTTCTTAAGGACACATAACTCCATTGAATGCTGGCCTCAGTTAGTATTTAAGCTCCATTTCCCCAGGCTGAATTGTATTTAGACTTTGTTTCCTGTAAAGATGTGACAAATGTCACATCCTACTAAAAAAGCCTCTTTTTGAGAACAGACATACTCTACCACTGTTGAGGAGTGTAAGGCTGAGACAACTCCAGGTACTCAGGATGGAAGGAAGAAAAGAATCCCTTTGTAGACATGTACCAATTTTTCCTGTCCTCATTCTTACAAGACCTCCTCAACTTGCTTTCTTTCCTGAGTTTCATGCAAGTGTAATGTTTTGGGAGATCAGATCTGCCACCCAGGCAGGTATACTGAAACTTGATTGAGAATTCTCTTATTTAGTAAACAGAGTAACCATTTGGGTTAAGTAATGCAGTCTGTCCCTTACTTAGTATTTAGACTCCAGTTTGAAGTGCAAAAACCTTAAAGGTTATGATCATAGGGGTTGGTCAGGGGGGTTTGTTCTGGTGCTTTCTCTCTCTTCCACTGTTTCAACAGATAACCACGGGAAAGGCAATTAATCTCTTTGAGCTTTTCTGTATGCACCTGCTTAGGTGCAGGATTTTAGTGAGCACTAATTGTCAGTCAACTTCTGCGCCAGTATAACAAATGATGTTTTCATATGTAAAATGTTGATATAGTTGATGATGGAACCCTATATACCATGTGGCTATGTCAAAGCTGAGAGCCTCAGAAAGGCTCCTTCGTAAAAGTAATGCTGTAATAAAACATGCTGTAACATTTTTTTTTTTTTGGTTGATGGCTGTGGAAGAAAGGTTCTACATTTTGTTGACTGCAGTAATTGTTTTGTGTAAATGTAATGGCTTTGCCCAAACTATGTACTACATGAATAGCATTAAGAGTATTAGCTTAAGGCTTTTGTGGACTTAGAAGAAGGGTTAGCATGCCCTGTCCCTTCCTTTTTTTTTTTTTTTTTTGATAGGTATAACAAAAGGCCTTTAATGAGTAGTGCACGTGAAAAATGTAAAATACAGTTCTTGCCAGGCCACCCTTCCTATTTCTGGGCAAATATTTTGCGGGTTTTTTTCCAGTGATTTCACAGTGTACTTCCTATAAGGTCATCTATCCTGGCATTCCCGATTGACTTCATGTATCAAGTACTGTATGCAAGCCAACAGACATTGAAGAATGAAAATGCTAAGCATAGTATATAAAACTCCTTTCCAAGCTTTTTGTGGAAGTGGTTTCTTGCTGTTTATTCCCTCTTTCCACATTAATTTGTTTTCTTGATCAGAAAGAAACCAGCATGGCAGAGTAATACAAAAGAACTGAAAAGTTGTGTGAGAACAAATCACGTTGGCTGAGTTTAACGTTTAGTAGGAACTACAAAGCTGGCTGTTGTTTAAACAGCTTACACTTAAAAACTGTACTCTTAAAATGGTGGGTATTGAGATGTTATCAGAGGATCATTATCTTCATCTTGGAATCAAGTTTCTGCCAGTTTCACTTTCTCAGGTCTGATTTACTCCTCATTCTCTTTTTGACTTACTTCATATCCTTGGCCTTGTATGCAGTTGTCCTGGTTTCAGCTGGGATTTTAAGAGTTAATTTTCTTCCTGATAGCCTGTCTA